AATTGAGAATTTCAATTATTATACAGAAACCAACTCTCTAATTTCTGAATCTAGACAGTGTTTTGGGCCTTAAAATGTCTTTACGACTGCTTATTATCTAAACGTGAGTACAAAATCTTGGAACTCAAATTTAATAATGGATAAAAGCTTCCACCACTGAAAAGATTTAAGAGATGAGAGAACAAAAATAAAATGTTTTATTAGGACTTATACTTAGGGCTTGTTCAATGTAAAAGTAATATAAAAATCACCTTCACATAAACCTTCTACCAACTCCATCTTATAAGGCTCCCTAGAGAAAACAACTTGTTCTTTACTCTCTCTAAATAAGAACCCATCCTCTCCTTAGTTCATCAGAAACCTTAACATTTTGTTACACTTCAGTGGTGATTGGGAAGTGATGCTTAGGTATAAGCATATGGATAGGAATATACACTTGGTGCCTTTTTTCTCCCCAAACATTTGTTACTTACTGAAGTTTTGGTCTAGTTATTTTCTTACCAAGAATTAGATTTAAAAATTACATAAAATAAAAAGTTATAGGGATTATACTATGTTTTGATATCTTCATTTTTCTCCTTTGTTAGCATTTAGGGCATACCCCATAACTACCATTGCCTCAGTAGTAGACATTTCCCAGTCATATAAGATATGGACTGAGGAAATAGCCCAGCAAGTATAATTTTAGTGAAATAAGAAAAACAAAGTTCTAGTGGTTTGAAGAATAAACGAGAAATATGAAAATGGATATAAGAAATGTATACTAAAATTTCTGGAAGCTCCACAGCAACGAAATGAGAAATTCAGTGCTGTTGCAAGAACTAGATTAAATGAAAAAAATAAAGTAAAAGGCCAAATATAAGTATTACAGACCTAATTTTCAAAAATTATGACTCAATTGCTTATGATGCTTTAAAAATGTTTAAAAAAAATTTTTTTTTTGCTCTATGTAACTCATATAAAATGAGCTGTCATTAAACTTCATTTTTACTTATACAACTATGTCATAAGTTGTATGTTATGAATACAGGCATCAGAAAGATTAAAATTTGCTTTTCCTGCCATTGACACAACTACTCTGCTTAGTTATTCTTGCTTAGTTATTTCAGTACCCATGACAGTGTTCCAGCACATAGCTGATTAAGTGGGACAAATTAAGAACATTTAAATTATTATATTAATGAATGAATAAATGAATGAATAGTTGAACTGTAAGTTCCTAGAAAGAAAGGCAATAAGATAAATTCACTTTTTTCCCTCACATAGGCCTTGTTTGAAGACAATAATTACATGGCCTGAGGCCTTCTCTTTGACAATACTTCATTTCTACTTAAAGAGATCTTACCTGGTATGTAGACCTCATTTGTTTGATCCATTTTCCTTTTTCATTTGGGAGACATGATGGTCCTCAGAGTTGCAATATTTTGATGGCATAAAACTAAAAGGATATTTGATTTGTGGCCAGGCACAGTAGTTTATGCCTGTAATCCCAGCACTTTGGGAGGCGGGTGGATCACAAGGTCAGGAGATTGAGACCATCCGGGGCAACATGGTGAAACCCTGTCTCTACTAAAAATACAAAAATTAACTGGCCATGGTGGCGTGTGCCTGTAACCCTAGCTACTCGGGACGCTGAAGGAGGAGAATTGCTTGAACCAGGGAGTCAGAGGTTGCAGTGAGCCAAGATCGTGCCATTGCATTCCAGTCAAGTGACAGAGTGAGACTCCATCTAAAAAAAAAAAAAAAAAAGAATATTTGATTTGTTATAATCTGAAGGCTAATGAATAAGAATAACTCTATGCGGCCGGGCACAGCGGCTCACGCCTGTAATCCCAGCACTTTGGGAGGATGAGGTGGGTGGATTATGAGGTCAGAAGACCGAGACCATCCTGGCCAACATGGTGAAACCCTGTCTCTACTAAAAATAGAAAAATTAGCTGGGCATGGTGACGCACACCTGTAGTCCCAGCTACTCGGGAGCATGCAGCAGGAGAATCGATTGAACTCAGGAGGCAGAGCCAAGATTCTGCCACTGCACTCCAGCCTGACGACAGAGCAAGACTGTCTCAAACAAACAAACAAAAAAAGAATAACTCTATGCTCCACTTCAGGTGATTTATATGCTATAGGAGTTAACAATCTAGTTCTTGTCTTTCTTTTGAATAAATTAACAAATATTCCTGGAGTATCTACTGAGTACAAAGCCTGAGCCAGTTGGACCCTGCTAGGGACTCTTGAACAAGGAGAACCAAAAACATGACAGACAAAAGGTAGAAATCTAATTAAGAGCAGTTGAGAAGATGACACAAGGTCAATTCAGATACAGTATTCTGCAAAGCCGAGAATGAAGTTAGACCCTTTTCATTTTAGTCTGCTGACAAAATTAAGCAATGTAACATCACAAAATATTAGATTTATTAATTATATATTTGTCTATTTTATGCTTAAATGTAGCTACATTATATGTTAGATTAAATGCAATGGGGTGTTAGTATTAGACCCTAAAGTCATAACTGAAAAACCAGTGAAAGCAAATAGAGTCTGTAGTTTAGTTAATAATATTCTAGCAATATTAATTATTTTAGTTTTGAAAAACGGTTATAACAGATGTTAACATTAGAGCAAACTGGATACAGGTTATATGAGATCTCTTTTGACTATTTTTATAACTTATTTAAATTTAAAATTACTTCAAAATAAATTGATTATTTAAAATTGTAATTAGAACAACTCTATATTAAAATTTTTTTCATAACCCTCATTACTTTGTATTAAAATGTTTTTAAAATCAAATTGTGTCATGTCAACAGCTTATTTTCGACTTTATTCGAGACTTTTTATTGCCACTGAGTTTAATGGTTTGCCCGTACATTAAACTGAGCAACCCTGGGGAGGCATTCTGTCCTTTTCCTGGCAGAAGTACTAGTATTTTCCAACAATTACTTCTGCCTTAGGTCTGGATAACGTCCTAAGCATTTTGCCTCATGTTCATTTTAGCTGCACATTTAAAAGGAGACAGTTTCCAGTTACACAATGTTTCTTTTACTATCTGTTAAGGAGACTTACTACTTCAGGCTCTGACCACATTTTGTTAGAAGTAGCTATTATGCTTTCTTCTTTGTTTACAGTACACAATAATCCTCATCATTTTGAGATATTTATCAATTTCTCATCTTGTTTTTTTAGTTGCTATGATCATTTCCCCATATGTATGCTATGTGAAAGAAAACTTTGAGCTTGTGTTCACTAACAAGGAATAAGCACTGGAAAATAAGTAGTTCATGGGGCTCAACACTATTCTGACACAATAGGAAGTCCTAGTAAGATAGTAATCTTAATGGAAGCAAATGTTATTAACATTAAACTAAAAACATCTACACAGCAACAACCTAATGTTCTTATTAATGAGAGGTAGGAACACTGATGGAAATCAAGATCTGTTGCTGGTGTTAATATTAAACATTAAAGTAATCCACAGAGGGAAAATACAACTATTGCAGGTTAAATGACAATTACAGCTTTTCTGACTGGTTGTTTTAAGCAGGAGGTCCAGCAGGAGCAAAGTAACCAAGACAGGGTTTTTCACATCATGTCTTTCCAAACAATCACTGTCCTAAGTGAGGGGTGGAAGACTGTCACACTGCCGTATTAGTCAGTTTTCACACTGCTGTAAAGAACTGCGCAGACTGGGTAATTTATGAAGGAGGAACTTCCAAACACTTAAAAAACCATCAGCTCTCCTGTGAACTCCCTCACTATCTGGAGAACAGCATGAAAGAACCATTCCCCATGATCCAATGACTTCCCTCCCTCCACGGTGAGGATTACAAATTGAGATGAAATTTGAGTGGGGACACAGAGCCATACTATGTAAAGGTGTGAAAGGATTCTATAAATCGGTAGTTTGGGTAGTTAAAAATTACACGGCTGGCCGCGTTGTGCAGTGCCGTTTACTTCAGCTGCAAACATTTTTCACTGCATGAGGGGATAGGCAGGGCCGTTCTCTGCCGGTCCTGCAATGTAATCAAGACAGACAGGGGTTTTTACATACTGTCTTCATTCTCACAAAGGTTCGCTTCAAATAAGAGATAAAAGCTTGTCTTCCCGACTCCTACCAGCTACTTTCTGACAGTTTAAAACAAGCTTTCTCTTAGTGCACAGTGGAGTTCCCTTAGGTATCAGATCCTAACATTATTTTCTTTCTTTCTTTCTTTTTTTTTTTTTTTTGAGACGGAGTTTCGCTCTTGTTACCCAGGCTGGAGTGCAATGGCGCGATCTCGGCTCACCGCAACCTCCGCCTCCTGGGCTCAGGCAATTCTCCTGCCTCAGCCTCCTGAGTAGCTGGGATTACAGGCACGCGCCACCATGCCCAGCTAATTTTTTGTATTTTTAGTAGAGACGGGGTTTCACCATGTTGACCAGGATGGTCTCGATCTCTCGACCTTGTGATCCGCCCACTTCGGCCTCCCAAAGTGCTGGGATTACAGGCTTGAGCCACCGCGCCCGGCCCCAACATTACTTTCAATACAATTTTGTGCCGCCGCCAAGTTTTAAATTCATTGTCTCCTGGAAGCTTTGGCTGGAGACTACTCAGCTCGTCCCTCAACTAACGGCTTTTGGGGGTTCTTTTTTCCCCAGTTGAGTTTCCGTGTCTTTCACGCGTTTGGATTTATGGTCTGTTGGAATTTTTTTCAAGCTGAGAATGAAGACTCTTAGTTTCCTCAATTAGCATAAAAGCTGCTTCAAGGAAGCTGAGTCTTCAGTTCCATGCCATTCAAAATGTTAATTCTTGAGGCACCCACCCTGCGCCCTACTGTCCTTTGTCCCACGACTTCTCGAAATTCCCTCAAGTGTTTTAACAGAAGCCGCTTCCTCGCCCTACCTGCGCCTCACAGCTCCCTCGGCAGTTAGCGGCAGAGAGCACCACATAACGCATGCGCCGGACGGCTGTTGTGGGCGGGGTGAGAAATCGCGTCGGCAACAGGCGATGACGTAAAAAGGCCGCGCCGTACTTTGGGGAGTGCGGCTTCCGCGAGGTTTCCTGGCCTGTTGCAGCCATGGTGCGTTGCAGTTGCGTGTTGTTCAGAAAGGTCCGTGCGGCTTCCCTCAGCTTGGTCCTCTTAGCGCTAACTGATGGCTCTGGTTCTCCGTCGCTCCCCTGTCTCTCCACTACTTTCTTTGCGGCGGCCTCTTGTCTGCTTGGTTTTCCCATAGACTTCTCCGCGCATCATGTAGTCGCGCTTTGCCAGTAAGCGGTGACAATGGTGTGTGTACCTATCGTGGTTAGGACGGTTTTTGGGGGGCAGGGTTTGAGTTTCTTTAGGGACATTGTGTGCACGTGGCATGAGGAACTGGGGTAACTGCCTGCTGTGGCCCAAATGTTACGGTGTTGTTTTTCTTACTTTAAGTAATATCCATAGCCTGTTTTTATGTATTTCTCCTTGAGTGCACTGTTTAAGGTTTTTCTAAAGGATTTTTACGAAAACATGAAAGCCTGTAATTTTTGTGCCTTCTTGCAGAACATTTAGGTCGATTTTTGTGTAGCGTCAGTCTTAAGAATTGTTTCCTTAAAAATTGACAACTGCTTTGAATTTTTTTTAAAAATCTTATCCTACTGGTAATATTTTTTGAAACCCTGCCTGCATCATGTTTTGGCTGTTACTTATTTCTAACGACCAGAGTAAAATACTCCTTTTAATTAAGGGTCCTAATCCCCTGAATCTGATCTATCTAGAGCAGGGAAAAAGTGTTACATGTTTAATGGAACTGTAGAAACTCTCCTCAAATATATCACAATGGTCAATATTTCAACTTTTTTGGGGAAAAAAAGATGTTTTTGATAATAGCTGTCCTAAATGACTAGTGATGTGGTTTATGAATTTAAGAAATTACTCTGTAAGGTATTTTGATTTTAATAGCCTAAGAGATTAATACATACATTTTAATAACCTGAGAGGTTAATACAAGAAGTTCTTGATTTCGTGAAGGAAACAGGTAAACACTAAATGCAACGTAAGATTTATAAAGGTGTAATAATAGAGATATAATCAAATTGCTGAGAGAGCCAGCAAAGTCAGGGTGAGAATTGATTAGAGGAATTTAGAAAGACATTAGAAAATATGACAGTATTTATGATAAGAAAAACAAATGACATTCTAAGTAGAGGAAAAGCATGAACAGAATAGCATGTAAAATGGCAGTATTTCATGTAGTATGGGGCCAATAGGAAGAGAGGAAGGTTGAGCAAATGAAAAGGATACAGGAAGAATTAGGCTTGGTTGGTGAGTCTATAGTTCTTGCTACTTGGGAGGCTGAGGTGGGAAGATCCCTAAAGACCAGGGGTTCAAGACCAGTCTGGGCAACATAGCAAGACCCCATCTTTAAAACAGGTCGGGTGGTGGTGTGGTGCCTGTAGTCCCAGCCATTTGGGAGGCTGAACTGGAAGAATTGCTTGAGCCCAGGAGTTTGAGGCTGCAGTGAGTGATGATAGTGCCACATCACTCCAGCCCAGGCAACCGAACCAGACACTATTTCAAAAAATATATATACCAGAAGGGTATTTTAGTGGCTTTGGATATACAGTTGACCCTCGAAGAGCATGGGGGTTAGAGGTGCCCCCTCACAGTTGAAAATCTTCATGTAACTTTCAGCTCCCCCAAAAAACTTAATCTGTTGGCTGGAAGCCTTACTGACAACATAAACAGTAAGTTGACACATATAAAATATGTTATGTATCTAGTATATACTGTTTCCTTACAATAAAGTAAGCTAGAGAAAAGAAACTAAGAAAGTCATAAGGAAGAGAAAATATATTTACTGTTCATTAAGTGGAAGTGAATTATTGCAAAGGTGTTCATCCTTGTAGTCTTCAGGTTGAGTAGACTGAGGAGGAAGAGGTGGAGCTGGTCTTGCTCTCTCCGGTGGCAGAGGCAGAAGCAGTGGAGTAGGTAGAATGGGAGGCAAGAGAGACAGGCACACTATGTGTAACTTTATGGAAGTAGATTGTAATTTCTGTCATGCTTTTGCTTTTCTCTTTCCTCTGAAAATGTTTCTGTAGGGTACCAGTCCTTCTTCCACCATTTGCTTTAGTTTCAGTGCCTGTTTCACAGAAGGCTCTGTGTCATAAAAGAAGTCGAAAGCAGTCCTGAATAACAGGAGCCCTTCTGCCAGATTGTCTAGTGTTGGTTTTTCTGGTAGTTTATTCTGTATTTTCTTCCCTGTTATCTGGGACTGGATCTGAAGTACTCATCTCCATCAAGCTATCTTCTCTGGTTTGTTGTGTGTTACCTCTTCAGTTTCTTCAAGATCCATATCTTGAAGTCCTCTACCCACTCTCCCACCGTTTTGGGCATATCCACAATCTCTTTCATGATTTCCTTGATTGGCTCTATTGTAAATCCTGTGAAGTTATAACACAACACCTGGACAAAGTTTTCTCCAGCACAAACTTACTGTTTCGGGCTTATGGCTTTCATGGCTTTTTCAATAATAATGACATCTTCAATGGTTTAATAACTTTCAGACTTTCCTGAAATTTTCTCTCTTGGGGTTCTTTTCCATAGTTGAAAATCCTTTCCATTGAATATCATGTGTAATGAGCCTTAAAGGTCCTTGTGACCCCCTGATCTACAGGCTGATTTAGAGACATTGTGTTTGGGGACAAGGATACCACTTCAGTGCCTTTGGTGTTGAACTCATGGGGTTCTGGGTAGCAGGGGTGGGGAGTGTGAGGGTACTGTCCAATATGAGAATTTTACAAGTCAGTCTCGTATTTGCAAGGTACTTCCTGACTTCAGGGAGAAAGCATCCATGGAACCAATCCAGAGAAAAGGCTTTTGTTCTCTATGCCTTGTTGTCCAACAGAAACTGGCAACTGATATTTATCTTTCCCTTTCAAGATTGAGGGGTTAGCAGCTTTATAGGTCAGGACAGTCCTGACTGTACACACAACTGCATTTGTACAATACGGTAGGGTTAGCCTATCCTGGCCTTAAATCCTGGTGCTCACTTCTCTTCCTTACTAATGTCTTTTGTGGCTTGCTTTCCAGAATAGTGTACTTTCATCAACATGAACGACCTGATCAGGGAGATATTCTTTTTCCTCAGTGATTTTCTTAATGGCGTCTGGGAACTCATCTGCTGCCTCTTGGTTGGCAGAACCTGCTTCTCCTGTTATCTTGATATTTCTAAAGCCAAAGCCGTATCTCTTTCCAAAATTATCAAATCATTCTTTGCTGGCAATTAATTCTTTAGCTTTAGAACCTTCACATTCTTTTTGCTTTTAAATTGTCATATAAAAGCTTTATTTTTTCTTGAATTGTATTAGTCTAGAAGTATGTTTAAAAATAGCAATCCTGCTTTCACATAAAAGCTGCATTTTCAATACAAGAGAAAAAGCTAATTCCCAAAAAGTACAAGGTTTTCTTACCTCTTGGCATAGCTGCAGCAGTGGCTTCATGAATGTTTTTTTCTTTTTTTCTACATTGTTTCTTATTCTGGATTCATTTGTCTTGAAATAGCTGGCCATCGCAGCTACAGACTTTAATCTGTAGTACATATCAAGCAATTCAACTTTTTACTGTAGTGTCATGACTTTACTTCTTGGGAGCACTGCCAGCATCACTAGTAGCACTTTTTATGGGTTCCATGGTGTTGTTTGAGGTTTACACTGAACATGAAAAATGTGAGAGAACTGTGAGAGATCACTTTTTACTGACATAAAAAATTTACTGGTGAGGTGAACTGCTCATGGGGAGGTGATTAGCATCACATGATCTTTTAAATGGCTGCTTGGGACACTTGAGCCCACTGGGATAGCAACAGAAAGTAACTACGAAATTATTACAGTAGTACAGGATGTACTACATTTAATTTTACACAGTTATACTATAATACTGCATCTTTACATTTGCTTACATTTCTCTTAACTGCAAATGCTGCCATGTAAGGTCTGTAAGTGTAAGTTTTGATAAATTTTAACTTTTTATAGTAGATGTGTGGCCTGGTGCAGTAGCTCATGCCTATAATTCCAACACTTTGAGAGGCCAAGGCAGGAGATTGGTTTGTGGCCAGGGGTTTGAGACCAGCCTTGGCAACATAGCAAGACCCCATCTCTAGTTTTGTTTTGTTTTTGTTTTTGTTTTGTTTTGTTTTGAGAAGGAGTCTTGCTCTGTCACCAGGCTGGAGTGCAGTAGCTCAGTCTCGTCTTACTGCAACCTCTGCCTCCTGGGTTCGAGCAGTTCTTCCACCTCAGCCTCCCAAGTAGCTGGGACTACAGGCCATGCCACCACGCCCAGTTAATTTTTCTATTTTTAGTAGAGACGGGGTTTTACCATGTTGGCCAGGATGGTCTTGATCTCTTGACTTCATGATCTGCCCACCTTGGACTCCCAAAGTGCTGGGATTACAGGCATGAGCCACCATGCCCAGCCTCTAGTTTTTAAAAAATTAAAATACATATATGTATACTTTATGGAAGTAAATGAAAAAATAGATTAGCATATGTATATTGTATGCACTCATAACACAATTAACTTTTCTTGATTTTTTTTTTCAGTATTTCCAATCTACATGATTTGTCTCTAAGTTTTTTCAAAATGTTGCAAAGTTCAAAAATTTTTCCTAATATATTTACTGGAAAAAAATCTGTGTATAAGTGGATGCACGCAGTTCAAACCAGTGTTGTTCAAGGGTCCACTGTAGTACTAAGAGTTTTTTACTTTATTTCATAAGCATTTTTTTTAATGCAGGATTTTTGAGTAAGAAACATGATTGGAGATCACATCAATTTCAGAAAAATAGTTCAGGCAACAAGTTGGAGAATGCAATAAGGAAAAAAATGACTAGACACTGAAAAGAGCTCATGTGATGAAGGTACTAGGGCAGTGGTAGAGAGAACAGAGGTAGTAGGGCTTTAGCAAAAGAAACACATAGTCTGAAAGACGTCCATTTGTGTAGTCTCAATGAATAAACCATGCTTCCATTATATGAGAGAACATTGGAGGAACAAATTTTTACCTGGGGAAAAGTTTGATTTTGTTATATTAACATTTGTTTTTGAGGTGACTATTATTTATTCAACTGATATGTAAGAACAGGTTACATATTGGGGGGTTTCAAATATACATTAAATACAAATTCTGCTCACATTTGCTCTATACTATTAAAAGCTTACATCCTGGTGTAAGTGTCTGACACATTGGACATAGAAAATATCTAGGTGATGGTTATGGGTACAAGCAGAAATTACCCCAAGGGAGAAACTATAGAATGAAAAGGCCAAGTCAGAAACCCTCAGGTTAGAAGAGACAATAATTGATAGTTGACAAAAATGAAAGGGACTTAAGAGAGACAATCAAATGGGAAAGGGGATCAGATTGGAGACGTGGAGGTGAGTTAAGAAAATGCTATAGAATTGGCATATAGGAAGCTATTAACAATTTTTTAAAAAGAAGTTTTAGTGGAAGAAAGAACTAGATAGGAGTTCTAAATTGATAACACTTTTGGTATACAAACGTTCTTTCTCTTTTTTATTAAGTATGGAAATTTCATCGATAACCTAAGACTCTTCACCAAGGGAGGAACCGGTGGAATGGGTTATCCTCGTTTAGGTGGAGAAGGTGGAAAAGGTGGTGATGTCTGGGTTGTAGCCCAGAACAGAATGACTTTAAAACAACTTAAAGACAGGTATCCTCAGAAACGGTTTGTGGCTGGAGTAGGAGCAAACAGCAAGTAAGTAATTACTGAATGACTTAAATTTTACAAAATCAAACCCTTCTGGAAATTTTTTTTTTTAAGTTACAAAATAAAAATTTAATTGGTAATTTAAAGTAATTTATTTCCTGTATTTGTAACTGAGTAAAAGCCTGAAATGTCTCAACTCTTATAAAAGACTGACTAAATAATATTTCAGTTTTTAAACTTTTTGTCAATTTCTTTTCCCAATGTGTATCTGTATACTTTTTGAACTTATTCTGTAGAAACAGAAAATTATCTGAATTCCCACTGTTTTCTAAAATTCTTTGACAACCTTTAAGAAAACTTTCTCAGTCTTAACCATGCTACTCACCCCACCACCATTAGAAGGCAAGATAATCTTTTCTTGACTTTTCTAAGCCTTTTCTATATATTTACACAAATGCAATTATGTGCATAAAAGTTTGGAATACAAAAATGAGAGTACAGTATTTTACAATCTGCTATTTTTGCTTAACTTTTTTTCCCCATGTCAGAAAATTATTCAGAATACCTGCATAATAAGTAACAATTTTTTTTTTTTGTCATTTGTCTATTTAGGTTATTGTTGATTTTTTTCTGATTATAACCACAGTGCAGTATCCTGTGTAGATACTATTTTACATGTATGTTCAATTATTATTTTGATAAATTCCCAGAAGCAGAATTACTAAAAAGTTTGTACTATTTTTTTCTCTTATGAACAGTTCAAGAGTAGCCAGATTTGCCTTCTATACTGTTAAGTACTCTCGTTTGAGGTTAGTTTTTTAGAAGCTTTGCTATTTTGTGGATTTTCTGTTTATTTGTAGCTTCTGTTTTTCTTTTTCTTTTTTTTTTTTTTGAGATAGAGCCTAGGCTGAGTGCAGTGGGTGCTATCACAGTTCACTGTAGCCTCCACCTTTCAGGCTCAAGTGATCCTCCCACCTCAGCCTCCTAAGTAGTTGGGACCACAGGCATGTGCCACCATGCTGAGCTAATTTTTTTAGGTTTTTTTTTTAGTTTTTTTTTTTTTTGTGGAAATGGGATCTTGCTGTGGTGTCCAGGCTGGTCTCAAATTCCTGGACTCAAGAGATCCTCCTGCCTTGGTCTCTTACTAAAGTGCTGAGATTACAGGAATGAGCCACCATGCCCAGCTTTTTCTAGCTTATTTGTATTGTAGCAATAATCTCTTCATTTTGGGTTTGTAATATTTTAGTTTTGGGTCAAAATGATCTTTGGTGGTTAGCTTAGTAACTTAAATTATCACCTAATGCCATTTTAATTCCATTAAAATGAAATAGGGATAATTAAAAGAAATAGGGATAATTTTAGTTTTTTTAAAACCCTGTCTTTAACCATTTAACATCTGCATTAACCAGAGAACTGATTGGTACTCTTCTTTATTTTCATTATTATCATTTTTTTTGAGACAAAGTCTTACTGTGTTGCCCAAGCTGGAGTGCAGTGGCGTGTTCTTGGCTCACTGCAACCTCCGCCTCCTGGGTTCAAGCGATTCTTCTGCCTCAGCCTCCCAAGTAGCTAGGATTGCAGGCGCCTACCACAATGCCTGGCTAATTTTTGTATTTTTAGTAGACACTGGGTTTTACCATGTTGGCCAGGCTGCTCTCAAACTCCTGACTTCAGGTGATCCACCCACCTGTGCCTCCCAAAGTGTTGGGATTACAGGCATGAGTCACTGCATCCGGCTGCTACTCATTTGTAAACCATTTGTGTGTGTGTGTGTGTGTGTGTGTGTGTGTGTGTGTGTGTGTATATACCCATACATATACATATGTATATATATACTTTTTTTTGGTAGAATTAGTGCACTGAAAGGCTCCAAAGGAAATGACTGTGAAATCCCTGCGCCTGTGGGTATTTCAATAACTGATGAAAATGGTAAAATTATAGGTGAGTATACTGTTAACTTCGAAGGTTTAAAAATGTGCACATTTTCTAAAATTAAACAGTGGAATAGCTTCTCTTGATTTTTGGAAGAATTTTTTAACAAACAATTTTAGCTACTACTCTATAAGAGAGCAAAACTTAGAAAAGGTAAATTGACTACTAGATTTAAGATTGTTTTAAAGATGTAAAAGTTCTTACTTGGTCTTAAAATATATAACTAGGTTCTTTTGAATTTTTACTAAAGTGTTTTTCTAGGGTCAGTCTTGTAATAGATTTGTAAATTTGAATTTCCTGGACTTTTTCTGAAAGAACAATATTAATGATTCTACTTATTAATTATAGATTTGTAATTGAGAATTTCCTGGCATGTATTTTTGAAAGTAAAATATTACATTAGTGATTCCACTTACTTATCTGTAGATTTGTAATTGGGAATTTCCTTGCCTGTATTTTTGAAATACGTTCCATTAGTGATTTCACTTATTAGTCTTTGCTGTAAGAATTTTTCTCCCTCTTTTTAAGGAGAACTCAATAAAGAGAATGACAGAATTTTGGTAGCTGAAGGAGGTCTTGGTGGTAAATTACTTACAAACTTCTTACCATTGAAAGGCCAGAAACGAGTAATTCACCTTGATCTAAAACTTATAGCTGATGTAGGCCTAGTAGGGTAAGTATCATTCATATTTTTATAATTATACTTTCAGAGAGATAGTTCATGAATAGTAAATAAATGTAAATGGTAATTTGGGGCCATAATTATTTCTAGTTTATGGAATTTGTGTGTTGCATGTGTACTAGAAAAATATGCTGCTGAATATTGTTATTTTCAAATTGCCAACATAGAGTTTCATAGGGTTATTACTCATTTGTAAAATGAAGACCAGAGCAATTGAATAGATCAATAGGAATGTTAGAGAATGTATAAAGAAAGAAAAATCAATCAAATGTAATATTAAAAGAAAGTTAAATAATAATGTTATAATGTTATCGGATATTAAAGAATAAGAAATCCAAACAAACCATATTATTATTAAAAGTATATAGAAGGAAATAAAAAGGGAAAAATTGACATAGCTCTTTGCAGTCTTAATAGAGACATTGAGGTACCATTAATCAAAAGACTAAAGAGCAACAATCTCAATCCTCAGACTTACGCACTATTGCCGCCAAATTGACTCTTGCTATGACTTTTTGTATATCCTTCTTGCCTGTGCTTAGGATCTATCTAGTCTCAGTACTGTAAACCTTGCAAGAGTGTCCTCTTCCACCAGCCTCCATTCTTTCATTAAATATTGCTGTTTAGCTATGGGGTTTGCAGTGCAGCTGCTCACTGGAAGGGGATAGATAGCAAGATACAGAGTAGATAAAGGAAGAGAAAACTTCAATATTCATTTTCTCTCTCTCCCCCATCCCCCCTCCCTTCTGCCCTCTCCCCCCCAGCCTTATCACAGTATTATACAATTATTCAGATGGAAAATTTAAGGAAAAGATAAGGAAAACTGCCTTATTACTGCCCTTCTCCAAATTCCTAGTTCTACTTTTTGCTTCCCCGTAGCTTCCTTCTAAGTTCTTTTCATCTTCCTCTCCAGTCATCTCACTGCCTCTCTACCACACTCTTAAGTCTGAATCCCTTGCCTTTTGCGCTGCCTGACCAGCCACTAGAGCTTACCTCCATTGGTTTAGGGTTCACAGAGGGCCCATTCCTGCTAAAATTATAACAAGGAAAGATGTGATCCTGCCTTGCTGTTCACATTTATTGTTTTCAATAAAGCACAGTTACGAGAATTATTAGACATAAATTCTATAATCTAAATTTTCAGGAACGTGGGCTTAATAGAGTTTTTTGGACAAGACTGGCAGTCCAGCCAATCACAGTTGCATTTGGTATAAAAATGTGTTTCAAGTTCTGAAGAGACAACTTTATAGTCTAAGAAGAGCCTAGCATGGCTTAGTCATAAAAGTGGGGTGGCATGGGGGACTCAGGTTAGACTAGGTTAGGATCTCAGATCCTCTGGAGGCTGGCCAGCTGGTCTTGGATAAATTATACAGCTTCTCTAAGCCTTTGTTTTTTTTTTCTCTCTCACTCTCTCTCTCATTTTCTTTTCTCTCATTCTTCCTGCACTGTAGTTCTGCTTTTGTTTGTGTTTGAAAGTATCTGTACATTTTTTTAAAAGCAATTTACAAAACAATGTAATATTTTCTCAGTGTTTAGCTAGAGATACTAAGTTGCAGGTGTTTTTCTTTTTTTTTTTTTTAAATTTCTTTGTTTTTCTTTGACTTCCAAGTGGTTTTTATTTTTAAATCGTAATTAGAATAACAAGTATTATATGCTTTCAATATTGAAACATCTTCAGTGTACAGAATGAATTTATCTTTACTTTTTTTATAAGTATATATTGTTCTCAAGTTTTTCAAGATTATTTGTAATACATTTGTATTCTACTTTTAATCCCAAATATATTCAGGAAGTCTACTTGAATTTTTAGGAATTCAGAGATAATAATATTGACATTTATTATAGTGTATCATTTTATATTCTTATTTCAGATTCCCAAATGCTGGAAAATCCTCTTTGCTAAGTCAAGTTTCTCATGCAAAACCTGCAATTGCAGATTATGCATGTAAGTATAATTTGATTGTGTATTTTAATGAGTGGAGGTAAACCTTTAAAGATTAATATTTCTCTGAGAATGAATAAAATGAGAACTCTGAGGGTAGGCTTAGTTGAAAAACTTTTGGCAGATAGACCACTGTTGCACAGGCCAAAGTGCAGTGACATGATCATGGCTCACTGCAGCCCAGGCTCAAGCCATCCTCTGCCTCAGCCTCCCGTGTAGCTGAGACTACAGATGTATGCCACCACGCCTCGCTGATTTTTTATTTTTTTTTGGAGACAGGGGTTTCCCTGTGTTGCCCAGGCTTGTCTTGAATTCCTGGGCTCAAGTGATCCTCCCACCTTGGCCTTCTAAATTGCTGGGATTATAGGCATGAGCCACCCTGCCCAGCCGTATTTTCCATTAATCTTTGAAACCTCTGTGCCCCTCAGCAAAGTTTCTTATACAGGTTAGACAGTTACTTTATTGTGTTTATTTTTCTGTTGCATAATAATTTATTTGGTTTAGCTAGGATTTTATGAGCCATTTATCCTTTATCAGGCACTGTGATAAGCACTAGGAAGACTGAGATGAATACTTTCATTCATTTAGCAGATACTTTTTTTTTCTTTAGACAGAGTCTAGCTCTGTCACCCAGGCTCGAGTGCAGTGGTGTGATCTTGGTTCACTGCAACCTCTGCCTCCTGGGTTCAAGCCATTCTCCAGCCTCAGCCTCCCGAGTAGCTAGGACTATAGGCATGTGCCACCATGCCTGGCTAATTTTTTGATTTTTAGTAGAGACAGGATTTCACCATGTTAGCCAGGATGGTCTCGATCTCTTGACCTCATGATCCACCCGCCTTGGCCTCCCAAAGTGCTGGGATTACAGGTGTGAGCCACCACTGTTTTGACTTTTATTGAGTAGACTATTGGAGTAAGGCATATATATATATATATATATATATATATATATATATATATATATAACTAATAAATATAAGAAATATAAAAGGGCACTGTGAAAGAGTGTAGATGACTGCTTTAGGCTTCCTTGAGGATATGTGATTCTTGGACTGAGATATAAGGAATAATTATGAGTTAATTAGTAAAATAGATTGGAGGATGAAGGGTCTCTAATCAGAGGAAATATGTACAAAAAGGCTTCAGCGGTGGCAGGAGTAGATTTGTTTGTCTAGAGAGCATGAAGTAAGGGAAAGACTCGAGATGAGCCTAGAGATGTAAGAAACCATATCACATAGACCATGTAGGCTATATTTGATTATAATATCTTAAGAGCAATTGGAAGGATTTAAGCAAGGGATAAAATGCTTAGGTTTGCTCCTCACAGAGATCTCTGCCTATGGTACAGAAAATGGATTGGTGTGGGACATGAAAGGGTCTGAGAAAACCAGTCAGTAGGCCCTTGTGGTAGCTATATGAGATATAAAAGAAGCTTTGGTGAAAAGTAGTTAAGTATAGTAAGATCTCTGCCATCATTAAAAGGATACAGAATGACATTAACTTGGAAAATAAAATCAAGCCATTCTAAAATTAGACTGTGATGAAGTAGAATTAAATTTGGACTAATTGTGATAAATCACAAGGCCAGTATTTGTTATAATATGTAGGACTTGAGAGGAAAAGCAAAAAGTCATAGGTAAGAGACTAATGTAGGTTGATGAGGCTTAAGAATAACTGAATGAGAAGGAACTAGAAAAATTTCACCCACAGTCCAGTGATAGAAACCTGATAGCTGACTCCCCTAAACATCTATTACACAACTTAAAGTGCAATGGAGGAACATTGAGGTTCAGTAATTATATTAGGCCTATAGAGAGTGTAAAAATCAGTATTTGTCCTTTTCCAAATACTAATTATTTATTTATTTTAGAGACAGGGTCTATCTCTGTCACTCAGGCTGGAGTACAGTGGCATGATCATACCTCACAGCAACCTTGAACTTCTAGGCTCAAGCGATCCTCCCACATTAGCCTCCAGAATAGCTAGGACTACAGGTGTGCACTGCCATGCCTGCCCATTGTAAATTTTTTGTAGAGACAGGGTCTCACTATGCTGCCCAGGCTTGTCTTGAACTCCTAGCTTCAAATGATCCTCCTGCCTTGGCCTCCCAAAGCATTGGGATTACAGACATGAGCCACAACACTTGGTCCTCCAAGTACATGTTAAATAGCAAAGATAATCATAGCTAATTAGAAAAAAATCGGAATTGAAATATTGTTTATTCTATGCATAATGCCAAGACACTTTTGAGAGTACCAGCCTTAAAATAAATTCTAGCCTTAACTTATTGCTGTGTTTCTTTTAGTTACAACATTAAAGCCTGAACTTGGAAAGATTATGTACAATGATTTCAAGCAGGTAAGTATTTTTAAAGTAAAACACTTCATTAGAAGTCAAGATACTTGGTTTTGGTACTTACTTTGACTTTCTTCTTCTTCCAAAGATTAGGTCCCGTTTATCCCTACAACATTATGTCTTCTTTATCTCCTTAATCTTGGTTTCTTCTTACTGCAAGTCTTTCTTTTACTACTATATTGGATTATTTATCTTTGTTTTTTAAAAATACTCTCTAAAGTTCATGGTAATGATTTTATTCCAACTTTCTTTTTTTGAAAAAAAAAAAAAAACTGTTTTAATGAAATTTTGGTCTCAACCAGCTATTAAAATTCATTTTTCCTTCGTAAGTAACCACTGTAGATCTTCTTTTATTATACTTATAATAAAAACTGTAAAAGGAAAGTAACAATATTTAAAATATGTACAATCTAGTAGTTGTACTCCTTAGCATTTACCCAAGTAAATTGAAAACGTGTGCATACACAGAAGTCTCCACATGGATGCTTATAGCAGCTTTATTTGTAATTTCCAAACCTTGGAAACAACCAAGATATCTTTCAGTAGGTGAATGGGTAAATAAACTGTGGTATATATTTAGACAGTGGTTTACTATTCAGCTCTAAAGAGGCCTCAAAAAGACCTAATGGAATCTTAAATGCCTATTACTAAGTGGGAGAAGCCAATCTGAAAAGGCTGTATGATACCGTATGATTCCAGCTATGTGACATTCTGGATAAGGCGAAGCTGTAGAGACAGTAAAAAAAAAAAAATCAATGATTGCCAGGGTTGCGGTGGGGAGGAGAGATGAATAGGCAGAGTGCATAGAATTTCTAGGGCACGCTATAAAATATGAAACTATATAGTACACTATTCTGTTGCTATAATGGTAGATACAGTATACATTTGTTAAAATCCATAGAATGTACAGCACCAAGAATGAAACCTAATATAAAGTATAGACTTTCGGTGCTAACAATGCATCAGTGTAGGTTCATATACTTTTCTGACATAATTTAAAAAACATTAAAAAATTATATTCAGTTATAGTGATATGACAGTCAAAAATAAAAGCAGTTATAGAATGTTAAATGTAAGTAAAATTATATTAAATATAGAATAATATGAATATAGAGAACAATACTTAGAGGAAAAGAGAACATTGTTTATACCTAATTTTTAAGGGAAATTAGTAGAGGAAATTTCCTGTTGTGCATGCTGCTTTGTCAGCTTCCTTTAAGACCCTGAATTCTTTATCTACACTGGGCAGGGGATGTAGGGTACTGCCTCTCATTCTTGGTTGCACTTCAGAATTAACCTGGGTGGCTTAAGAACAGCAATGATAAATGATGCTTGGGCCCTAGAGATTTGAAACTAAATCTCTTGGGGGTAGGGCCTGGGCATCTGTAGTTTCTAAGAGTTCCCTACATGATTATGAAGCACAGTAAGGTTTGAAAAGCACAAGTGTAGAACGATGGTTAATAATGATTATTCCCTCTAAGAGGGGTACAGGAACACTGTATTCTTTTATTAGGTTGGTGCAAAAGTAACTGCGGTTTTGATCATTAAAAGTAATGGCCAAAAGTAGGAGAGCCACAGCTACAACTTGGGTTTGTCGAGTGCTGTTTCACCTGGCTGATTTAACTTGAATACTGGCATAAGATGAGATGATGACAAGGAAGCATGCTCAGATGATTGAACTTCTAGATGATAGAACTCTGCTCCTCATGTAATGCCATGAGCTTTGCTTAAGTAAAAACAGTAATTACCGATAAAAATGTGAAGCATTAGCAAACATGGCACTGCAAAGAACAGGTGAGGAGAATCACACTGCTATTAATAGTAAAGTCTATTCGAAGTAATGACCAAAACCACAGGTACTTTTGCACCAACCTAATACTTCATAGGAATGGTTGATAATCCTGCTGGTATAATATGAACAGAAAAGGAACAATGGTGCCAAATAAATAATTACAAATTGAATTTAAAATGCAGAGCTATACCTAGTAAATGTCTTTGTAATTAATATCCTTGCAAACTTTTATGAATTCAGAGTGTAAAGATTGAAATTCTATGAAAAGTTCATCTTGGACAATACCATTTAGGAAATTATAAATAAATTTTAAACTAGGGACTAGTGTGGTGGCTCACACCTGTAATCCCAGCACTTTGGGAGGCCAAGGTGAGAGGATCACTTGAGGATAGGAGTTTGAGACCAGTCTGTGCAACATAGCGAGATCTCTACAAAAAAAAAAGTTTTAATTAGCTGGGCATGGTGTGTGTGCCTATAGTCTCAGCTACTTGGGAGACTGAGGTAGGAGCATGGCTTGAGCCCAGGAGTTTGAGTCTCCAGTGAGCTATGGTCACACACCACTGCACTCTAGCCTGGGTGACAGGTCTTATCGCTAAAATAATAATAATAAATAAACAAATGTTAAACTAATCTGTAAAATTCCTAGATTATTCAGAGTAAATATGGGACTAATATCTGATAACAAAAGATTTTAATTCTGAATACTGTACATTAATTTTGCTATAATAGTATCTTGGCTTTTCAAAGATGTAGTGGTAATCATAAGTTAGGAAGTGTTTATATTTGAAATGTCTTGAAAATTTTTGGATGTAATTGAACTTGTGGTTTTCATATATTTTCCTTTTTCATCAACCGTTTAACTTTGTATTAGATATCAGTAGCTGATCTTCCAGGTTTGATAGAAGGAGCACATATGAACAAAGGAATGGGCCACAAATTCCTCAAGCATATAGAAAGAACTAAACAACTACTTTTTGTTGTAAGTCATATGCATACCAATGTGATGTTCAAATAAATATGAAAATCAGTGAATTTAATTTTTCTTAGAATTTTTTTATAAATAAGAAAGTGGTAGCATATGTTACTCTGCTAAGTCTTTTATAATACAGGGATGGAAGTGACATTGTTTACTATATCATATGTAAGTTTGGCCATACTTGTCAAGATGTATTTCCTTAAGATTTCTAACATGCTACCATATTATATAGTATTATAGCATCTCTTTCATACTTCATTGGTAGTGCTAGATTTATATATGAGATTGTCTCTATTGGTACAAATTGTCTTATCTATTCTAGTTTTTTATTAATGACTGTAATTTTATCAGAATTATAATTAACATTTCTGTTACTTATTTTGAATTGCTAAAGAACAAGTAGAGTAAAAGAAATTGTTTTTAGCTTGAGAGAGCAAAACATTTTAAAACAGAAATGTATAGCTGTTTTTCTTATGTTAAAGTTGTCTCCATCACTTTTTAGGTTGATATTTCTGGATTTCAGCTTTCTTATCGCACTCAATACAGAACTGCTTTTGAAACTATAATACTGCTTACAAAAGTAGGTTTTCCGTTTTACTGTGTTCTATATTTGGTCTAATATGTAGGAATGTAAGACTATATGAAATAACATAATTACAGTGTATGCATACTCTGCCATTTTAAAGCTTTGATGTCAATTGAAGAATTAATTAAACTTGTTGTCTCCAGGTTCTGTACATTCATTTGCTCCTCAAACCCACTGCAGTGGATAAAATGCTCCTGGGCTTCCAAATCCCCATTGCATACTTCCCAGACTTTTATCTTCCTTCAGCTTTGGCACACTGTCTAATTCTTCTTGAAACATCCTTATTCTTAGCTTTGTGAACTGTAATCTTCTGGTTCTATTTTTGCTCTTACACTATTTCTCAGTCTACTTTTTAGGCTCTTTCTTCTCATCCTTTAATTAACATTATTCAGAGTTCTGTCCTAACCTTATTTTGCAATCTTACCCACCACTCTCATTGCTTACTTACAATTAATAATATTGATGACTGCCAGATCTATAGCTGATACCTAGGTCTTTTTGTTGTTCTTTTTTTTTTTTTTTTTTTTTTTTGAGACAGTCTTGCTCTGTTGGCCAGGCTGGGGTGCAGTGGCATCATCTCAGCTCACTGCAACCTCCATCTCCCGGGCTCGAGTGATTCACTTGCCTCAGTTTCCCGAGTACCTGGGATTACAGGTGTGTGCCACCAGGCTTGGCTAATTTTTGTATTTTTAGTAGAGACGGAGTTTCATCATATTGGCCAGGCTGGTCTCAAACTGCTGACCTCAGGTAATCCACCTGCCTCGGCCTTCCAAAGTACTGGGATTACAGATGTAGGCCACCATGCCACGCCTTTGTTGTTCTTTAGACCAGATGCCCATTGGACATCTTCTTTGATTGGATGTCCCGTTAGTCACTTAATATGGATAAAAGTAAACTTTTTTTTTCTTCTTTCTTGTGTCTGGAGCATCAGGTAAAAAGTAAACTTTTTAAAAAACTTTCAGCCATCCCCATAACTTAGTGAATGTGTAAGCTGTGATGTACTGATTCTTCTCACCACCTGCACAAACCTTGTCAGTTTCTTATCCTAAATCTCTCTGAAATCCATCCTCTTGTCTTCATTTACACTGTTAGAGTTATCAGCCCTTCTCACTGGAATATTGAATCTGGTCCTGTCCCCTGTTTCCTGTCTTGGTTCTCTCCAGTCCATTTTTTATATGGCAGCTAGAGTGATCTTTGCAAAAGAACCAAGGTGATGTTCCCTGCCTAAAATGCTTTGATGGACCCCCATAGCTGTTAGGTTAAAATCTAACCTGAGCATGATTTATGAAATCGGCAAATTGGGCCCCTACTTCTCTAGAAGTCCTCCTCCCTAACCCTCTCCCCTAGATGCTGCATTTCAGCCATGTGAATTCTCTCTAAGACGACATGGTGTTACTTACCTCCAGGAATTTATAGATCCTATTTAATTTACTACTTTTCATCTGTAATGAGTAATACTGCTGTGAACATTTGTATACAGGTTTTTGTATAGACATGATTTCATTTCTCTTGCATATATACTTAGGAGTGGAATTGCTGGATCAGATAGTAATTCTTTAACATTTTGAGGAACTGCAAAACTATTCCAAATTGGTAGCACCATTTTGCCATTTTACAGTCCCACCATCAATGTATGAGGGTTCCAATTTTTTCACATGAATGTCACACTTATTATTGTCTGTCGTTTTTACTTTACTCACCCTTGTAGGAGTGCAGTGGTATTTTTTAATAGTTCTTATTTGTATTTCTCTTATGATTAATGATACTAAACATCTTTTTATGTGCTTTGTTAGGCCATTTCTGTATCTTTGGAGGAAAGTCTGTTCAGATTCTGTATGCATTACTATTTGCATTATTTGCTTTTTAATTATTGAGTTGTAAGCATTTTTTATATTTTTGGAAATAAGTCCCTTCTTTTTTCTCTGTTTTTGAGACAGAGTCTCACTCTGTCATCTGGGCTGGAGTGCAGTGGCAAAATCTCGGCTCACTGCAACCTCCACCTCCTGGATTCAAGTGAATCTCTAATCTCAACCTCCAGAGTTGCTGAGATTACAAGCACGTGCCACCATGCTAGGCCAATTTTTATATTTTTAGTAAAGATGAGGTTTCACCATCTTGACCAGGCCGGTCTTGAACTCCTGACCTCAGGTGATTCACCTGCCTCAGCCTTCCAAAGTGCTGAGATTACAGGCATGAGCCACCAGATATAAGTCCCTTCTAAGATACATGATTTGAAAATGTTTTCTCCCCTCTGTGACTTGTCTTTTTTACTTTTTCAGTGTATTTTTTGTGTGTTCTTTGTGGCACAAAACTTTTATTTACTTAATTTTCCAGTTTTATTAAAGTGTAATTGATATAAAAATTGTGTGTACTTAAAGTGCACAAATGATGTTTGGATATATGTATACATTGTAAAATGATTAAATCAAGGTATCTATCATCTTACACTTTATTTCTTTTGTGTTGAGAACATTTAAGATCTACTTTTACAGCAATTTTCAAATAATAATAACATTAATTATAGTCACCATACTGTACAATAGATCTCCAGAACTTATTCATCCTATTTAACTGAATCTTTGTTCCCTTTGACCAACACCACTCCATCCTCCCCTCTGCAAGCACTTGGCAACCACCATTTTCCTTGCTTCTATGAATTCAACCTTTGAAGATTCCACATATAGGTGGGATTATGCAGTATTTGTTTTTCTGTGCCTGGCTTATTTCACTTAGTATAGTGTTCTCCAGATTGATCCATGTTGTTGTGACAAGATTTTCTTTTTTTAAGTCTGAATGGTATTCAGTTGTGTGTGTGTATATGTGTGTGTGTGTTTGTGTGTGTGTCTATCACATTTTCATTATTCATCCATTGATGGACATTTAGTTTGATTCAATGTTGTGACTGTTATGAATAATGCTTCAGTAAAAATGGGAGTGCAGATATCTCTTTGACATACTGGTTTTATTTTGTTTGGATATATACCCAGAAGTGGGATTGCTGGATCATATGGTAGTTCTATTTTTAAGCTTTTGATAAATTCATACTGCTTTTTATAATGGCTGTACTAATTTACATTTCCACCCAATGGTGTTCAAGGGTCCCTCTCTCTCCATATCCTTGACAATACTTGTTATCTTTTGTCTTTTTGATGATAGCCATTCTTCCAAGTGTGAGGAGCTATCTCATTGTGGTTTTCCTTTTCATTTCTTTAATGATTACTGATGTTGAACACTTTTTCATGCACATATTGGTTATTTGTATGTCATTGAGAAATGTCTATTCATGTCCTTTATCCATTTTTTAAAAAGGTTTATATTACCCAAAGTGATCTACAATTCAGCACAATCTGTATCAAAATTCTAATGGCATTTTTTACAGAAAAAAAAAATCATTAAAATTTTTATGGAACCACAAAAGACCCTGAATAGCCAAAGCAATCTTGAGCAAAAAGAACGAAGCTGGAAGCTTCACACTACCTAATTTCAAAACCTACTACAAAGCTGGTAATCAAAACAGTGTGGTACTGACATAATAATGGAGACATAAACCAACAGAACACAGTCCAGAGCTGAGAAATAAATCCATGTATTTACAGTTAATTTTCAAGAAAGGTACCTAGAACACACAATAAGGAAAGGACAGTTTTCTTCTTCAATAAGTGGTATTGAGAAAACTGAATATCCACATGCAGAAAAATGAAATTAGATCCTTATTTCATACCATGTAAAAAATCAGTTCAAAATTGATTAAAGACTTAAATTCAAAGCCTGAAACCATAAAACCACTAGAAGAAAACAGAGGAAAAGTTCCATGACATTTGTCTGAGCAATTTTTTTTTTTAATGTGACCCCAAAGCACAGGCAACAAAAGGAAAAATAGACAAGTAGGATTGCATCAAACTAAAAAGCTTCTGCACAGCAAAAGGAACAATCAGCAGAGTGAAGGGGCAACCAAGGGAACCAGGGAAAATATTTGTAAATCATCTATCTGATAAGTGGTTGATATCCAAAACATAAGGAGTCAGAACAACTCAATAGCAAGAAAACAACCCCAAATTTTTAATTTTGATGAAATTCCATTTGTTTCATTCCTTTTTTTTCTTTTCTTTTTTTTTTAAAGACAGAGTCTTGCTCTGTTGCCAGGCGCCAGGCTGGAGTGCAGTGATGGGATCTTGGCTCACTGCAACCTTTGCCTCCCAGGTTCAAGCATTTCTCCTGCCTCCGCCTCCCGAGTAGCTGGGACTACAGGCGCAACACCACGACGCCTAGCTAGTTTTTGTATTTTTAGTAGAGACGGGGTTTTACCACATTGGCCAGGATGGTCTCAATCTCTTGACCTCATGATCCACCCGCCTTGGCCTCCCAAAGTGTTGGGATTACAGGCATGAGCCACCACACCCAGCCTCCTTTTCTTAAATTAAAATTTTTTTGTAGAGATGGGGTCTTGCTCTGTTGTTGAAGCTTCTCTTGAACTCCTGTACTCAAGTGATCCTCCTACCTCAGCCTCTTAAAGTGCTGAGATTACAGGCATGAGCCACCATGCCCAGTCTTACGAATTTATTTATCTTTAAAACAAACAGAGTCTCACTGTCATGTAGGCTAGAGTGCAGGCATGATTGTAGCTCCTTGTAGCCTCAAACTCCTGGTGGCCTTCAGCAGTCTTCTGCCTTTTATCTGTTCTTTTACGTGTGCTTTTCATGTCTTATCTAAGAAACAGTTGTCTAATCCAAGGTGACAAAGATGTGCTCCTAGGTATATTTACTTTTTCCAAGAATACTACAGGTACAACATTAAATGATCATTATTGACTTCTGAATTTTATGTATGTGAAGTCCAGATACCCATATTTGACTCTAGATGCAAAATTACAACTGTCTCTAGGATGTCATTTAAGCTAAAACATACTAACACATAACCTAACCAGAATCATTTTGTGAAATTCTTCCTATAGTTTTCTGTTGTAGGGATTTATTGCATTTCAGTGATGTGAATGGGCTTTAGATCACCCAGGTCATTAACTACCAAATACGTTTATACGGAAACCAGTAATAAAATTACTGGATTTTCTCTTTTGATTTAAAGGAGTTGGAATTGTACAAAGAGGAGCTTCAAACAAAACCTGCACTTTTGGCAGTTAATAAAATGGACTTGCCAGATGCTCAAGATAAGCTTCATGAATTGATGAACCAGCTCCAGAATCCTAAAGGTAAAACTATTTATTCATTTAATTCTAATTATTGAATAATTACAATGTACAGAGAATGCTGTTATCATCAGTGGAAAAGAAAACTGAGTTTCTTCTCTTAAAAGTCACATTTGAAGAATAAAATATACAAAATATGTAAATAACATTGTAACATAATAATTATCAAATTCTAGAATGTTTGATATGGACAGTAAATTAAAGGAGACAAAAGAAAAAGACGACGAATTTTAACTAAAAAGGTCAAGTTTTATGAAGAAGTAAAACTTAAATTGGGCCCATAAAGCATATGTGGGATTTGAATAAAAGAAGGAAAATGTCAGCAGCTACCTGTGAAGTCTTTCACTTTCGTCAACATACTTCACAAGCTCTTCATTCCCCTAGTACTGTACATCATAAAATTATAAACAGAAGTAACAAGTTCTAAAGAAGTATGTTTCTTTGCAAAACTAACTCTATAGGTTTCTGAAGAGGATGAGTCTTCTGAAAAGAACATTTTTCCTGTGTATGTGTGACACAGAAAAATAGAAGCTGTGACTCCAAAATGATTTATTTGTCTGAAATTTACCTCTTGGACTATGTGTAAAGTAACTTAAAGGGATTCTCCATAGTTTTGAATATTGACATTTGCAGAACACCTTCTATCCTATGGCAATGATGATTTCATTTAGTCTAGTAGAGAACCTTATGCACAAATGAGAAGGAGTAGGGCATATGATATGTGGATAACATGTTTTTCAGTAATACTCTGTCTCTGTTTTTATTCTTGGTAACAATTGAGGGACAATGTATTTTGGTGTACTCAGACTATCAAACAGCACCAGAGGTCCTTTCCTCTCAAAAATCTTTCCCTTGTGTAGTTTACATGTTGGAGCTTCCCTTGAGTTAATAAATTACTCATGGGATATAAATATTCCCTGATACTAAATAGTCTTTATTCCTACTATCATAGGCTTTATAAGGTCATTAATTCTGTTTGCTAGTTGATCTTGCAGAGAGGGGAATTTTCAGAGGAAGTACCAAAAGTGAGGGTGACTCAGGAGTTCATAGCTATTCTGACGTATCATGAAATAAAATATAGGCCCTTCAGTGATAATCCTGAGTTAGCCTCTCTAGACTTTGTTGGGGGCTTTGAATCTCAGAAAGCAAGCTCCATGTTGTCTTTTCCAATCTGTTTCAGTCCAGTCTGTAAGGTAATGCACATGTTAATAAGCTATATTGAGCCATTCAGCAATGTATAGATATTTCAAAACATGTTACACATGATAAAGCCATAGTTTTTAATGTCATTTTTAAAAATTATATTTAAATATTTTATTTTGAAAGCTTTTCCACAGATGTTTTTTTTAGTGTTATTACCTAGTTCATATCAGTTAACCCATCCAATTGGCTGCCGTCTCTCCAGCCAATCAGTATGCCACGGTAGCAGGAAAGAGGTAAAAATTATAACAGTTGTTAGCCCTTGTGGGGTGACAGATTGGACTCATCTGAAATTATCTTCCCTTGAATGCTCTATAATCCCTCTTCAGTTTTAGTATGGATCCTAGGATCATTGATGATAAACCTATACTTTTGGGACGTTAAAGGTCTCTAGCATACTGAGGCCAGGTAGAATGTCTCAAATTATAAATGATGTTATTATTTTTACAGAAAGTATCTTTCAGAGAATCAATGCTTTGTTGCCTTATTTAACCCCCCTCAAACAAAATTTATTACTTCCTTAAGTCATTTTTGTGATTCATCTTCTACTAATACTTAGTTTGGTTTAAAATATATTCAACTAAAAAGCATATTATGTGCCAAGAACCTTACCATAATCAATAGTAAAATCTAAAGGCTCTGAGAGTTTATTAGAGAGAAAAGGGACAAAAAGACATGAAAAAATGCTAAGTTTTTGGTTCCCTGCTTCACAAATCAAACCATTAACACAGTTTTAACTTACTTTCAAAAACAATGGAAATCAGCTTAGCTTTGTGTTCTTTCTTTTAGATTTTCTGCATTCATTTGGAAAAAACATGATTCCAGAGAGGACTGTAGAGTTCCAGCATATCATCCCCATATCTGCAGTTACTGGAGAAGGAATTGAAGAATTAAAGAACTGTATAAGAAAGTCACTGGATGAACAGGCCAACCAGGAAAATGATGCATATCATAAGAAACAGTTGCTTAATTTGTGGATTTCTGATAAAGTATCTTCAAGTGAGCCACCATCATCAAAGCATGCTATTACTAGTTCCAAAGTGAATATAATTTAAATATATTAAAAAATGATATTGATGGAATGCTATTTAATGCTTAAAAACAAGGAAATCCTTTCGTCTGTCACATGGATGAACCTGGAGTACATGCTCAGTAAAATAAGCCAGGCTTAGAAGACAATACTGCATAATCTCACTTACATGTGGAATCTTAAAAAGTTGAACTCATAGAAGCAGAGAATAGAATGGTGGTTATCAAGGGCTAGTTGGGGAGTGGAAGGTTGAGGAGATGTTGGTCAAAGTATACAAAATTTCAGTTAGACAATGCAACTGATTTCAAGAGATCTGTTGTACAGCTTGGTGACTATAATTAACAACAGTGTATTTCTGAATAAATTTTTTTTTCTTTTTTTTTTTTTTTTGAGACGGACTTTCGCTCTTGTTACCCAGGCTGGAGTGCAATGGCGCTATCTCGGCTCACCACAACCTCCGCCTCCTGGGTTCAAGCAATTCTCCTGCCTCAGCCTCCCGAGTAGCTGGGATTACAGGCGTGTGCCACCATGCCCAGCTAATTTTTGTATTTTTAGTAGAGATGGGGTTTCACCATGTTGACCAGGATGGTCTTGATCTCTTGACCAGTGGTTTTTCCAAAAAAGTGTATAAGGTAATGCATGTGTTAATAGCTTTATTGCACCATTCCACAATGTATAGATATTTCAAAACATTTTACACATAAATCCATATTTTTTCTATGTCATTTTTAAAATTTTAACTTTTTTTATTTTGAAAGCTTTTTCACAGATCTTTTTTTAGTATTATTACCTTCTGATATATGTGTTTTTGTTCAAGAACCATACCTTTTAAAGTTGTTTAGTAGTTAAGTATGTCAGCAGTAAAAAAAAGTAACTAATGGCCAGGCATGGGGGCTCATGCCTGTAATCCCAGCACTTTGGGAGGCCAAAGAGGGCAGATCACTTGAGATCAGGAGTTCAAGACCAGCTTGGCCAGCATGGTGAAACCCCGTCTCTAGTAAAAATACAAAAAATTGGCTGGGTATTGTGGTGCATGCCTGTTGTAGTCCCAGCTACTCTGGAGGCTGAGGCAGGAGAATTGCTTGAACGCAGGAGGCGGAGGATACAGATTGCGCCACTGCACTCCCGCCTGGGTAACAGAACTAGGCTTCATCTCAAAAAAAAGAAAAAGTAAGAGCTAAAAAGTACATTTTACAAGTTTATGGCCAGTCCACCTCTAATATTCTCTGATATTCCTTAGGATGTCCCTATTGAGATCATTTTTAAAATTTATATAGAAGCACTCTCTAGATTATTATGAGAATGAGCAATTCAGTTTTGTTTGTTTTTGAGCCTGTCTTGTACCTAGTTGCACTAAACATATAATAGTTCTCTTTTGTGGAGACCTTAAAACCCTAAATTTGAACACATGTTTAATGATAATAAAGTTATAACAGAAACCAGCAGATAGACTGTTCATAGTTTATGTATTGTTCTCAGCTTAAAGTTTTTTTCTGATTTGATAACGTGGATGACGTTTTTTCCAATATTATTTTACTTATATTTGTTTTGTTGTCTGTTTCTCCTACCTCCCATTCCAGTCCCCAAACCCTTTTTTTATATTTCTTTTTTCTTCGTTGCTCATGAATTTATTGAGTGTCTCTCCTGTAGCAGACACTGTGCAGGTTGCTGTATGTACCAATGTTGAAGAAAACAGACAGGACATATTGTCCTTGTATATCTCACATTTGATAACAGAAACTGCAGGGGATTGGAATAGACTCATTTCTTCACAACAAAAGAATAAGAATGAGGAAAAGCATTTGGAGTTTGTGCTGATCACAGTGACCAGGCTTTGTATTGGGTATGTTTTACATTTGTAACTTCAGTGCTATTTTTTTTTAAGCTCTGTTATTTTCTAAATGTAAACAAGTAGCAGTGTAAGGACAATTTCATCAGGTGAATGTCGGAAATACTGGCACCATGATCTTATTTTGTGCTGTGGCAAAGGGTAGCAGATGTGTGTTCAGGATTATTTGCTCTGTCAGTAATACCCACGGTGCCACTCCATGACTAACCAAAGCATTTTGTTACATGACTCACTAAAATGTTCAATTAATTAGTATTTTCTGGTTACTGCAAGTGTACTCTATGTACCTTTTTTTGACCTTTGATTTTTATTCTGACCGAGAAAATTAGATTCCTTTTTAATCTTATAAAAAATTTGAAAACATTCTTATTTTGAAGTCTTTTAACATTATCTCAGATGCATTTTATTTTGTCCTTAAGCAAGACTTTCATTTTTAGCTTTTCAAATGTAATTTTCAAAATATGTGCTTTTTGAAATGCTTATTATATTACTGAATAACCAGAGTATTAAATTCAATGTATGGCACATTCTTACGAAGTCCCAGTAGTTCTGCAGACCTTTCTATATCAGATTTATTTACCATCATGAAATGCAAGTTTATATAATATTAAGTATATTGTACTATGAAGTTGGATCTCTGTACTGAAAAATTCCAGAATACCTATTGTATTAAGTATAATATATAAAGTATATATATATATATGTATATATATATACATATATATATAATATTAAGTATATTGTACTATGAAGTTGGATCTGTGTGCTAAAAAATTCCAGAATACTTATTGTATTGCGCTTTTTGTGATATATATTCATATTATATGTCATAGCAAGATGAACTTTTTTAAAAATGGTAAACATGTATTAGTTACATAATCAGGAAAAAAGTCATCTTTTATAATGGGAAAAATTAGGTCAAGGATATTTCAGGTTTTATACAATTAGTTTTCTTGTAAAGTTATGTATTTTCTTTCATCTCAGTGTTATTTGCTTCTCATAGATGGAGGTTAGAGATTCCTTTCAGTAGTTAATGAAAGCTACAGACTTTTCTTGCCAAAAAATGTACATAAACACTTAAAATATTTTCCAACCAATTTCACAGTGTTTGCAAAATTCAGACTGAAAACCCAGTTTCACAAATGGCATCTAGAAATTTGCAGTGTATTAAGGTATATTAAAAATAATGTTCCAGGCCGGGCGCGGTGGCTCACGCCTATAATCCCAGCACTCTGGGAGGCCGAGGCAGGTGGATCACGAGGTCAAGAGATCGAGACCATCTTGGTCGGCAAGGTGAAACCCCGCCTCTACTAAAAATACAAAAATTAGCCGGGCATGAGTGGTGCACGCCTGTAGTCCCAGCTACTCGGGAGGCTGAGGCAGGAGAATTGCTTGAACCCAGGAGGCAGAGATTGCGGTGAGCCGAGATTGTGCCATTGCACTCCAGCCTGGGTAACAACAGCGAAACACCGTCTCAAAAAAAAAAAAAAAAAAAAAAATGTTCCAAAGCAACAGCATAAGTACACTTTAAAACTGTAGCTTAAAAATGAAAATTAGCAATAACATAACTTGTAAACCTACATAAAAGATATTTTATTGCAAAAATATGGCAACATTTTTTGTTGTTGTTGTTGTTGTTTTGTTTTGTTTTGTTTTTTTTTTGAGATGGAGTTTCGCTCTTATTACCCAGGCTGGAGTGCAATGGCGCAATCTCGGCTCACCGCAACCTCCACCTCCTGGGTTCAGGCAATTCTCCTGCCTCAGCCTCCTGAGTAGCTGGGATTACAGGCACGCACCACCATGCCCAGCTAAGTTTTTGTAATTTTAGTAGAGACGGGTTTCACCAAGTTGACCAGGATGGTCTCGATCTCTTGACCTCATGATCCACCTGCCTCGGCCTCCCAAAGTGCTGGGATTACCGGCTTGAGCCACTGCGCCCGGCAACATTTTGTTTAAAGACCAAATAGTGAATTGAATTTAATGCCTGTCTTTAAATCCTTAACAGTATCTCAAATTTGGTTTAAATCTGTCTCTTCTTAAGTATAGAAAGTGAAAAAAATCCAGAAATCTTGTTTGAGTACATGATCTGTGTTAGTAATCATATCTAAAGTGGTAATGTTACCATATGCCTGGTACTGTACTCAGTATCACATATGTTACCTTATTTAAACACTAAACTGTATTGCCTGCTAGCCATGTTATTTTTTTAAGTTGGGTGGTGAATACATGAGTTGTTTTTTGAACTCTTGGGAGCCTAAAGTATTTGGTAATTTTTAAAAAGACATTTATAAAAAAAAAAGTCTATGCCTTATCAAAGTTTATAACTCAGGAATTACTGAGATAAACAGTGGACAAAAAATGTTGGCAGATAACATACATAATTTTAATTGCAAAGTTAAGTGGTGAAAAATATCTTTTTTTTTTTAAAGAGATATTTCACATCTATTTTATTTGTTTAGTTTTATTTTTTATACTTTTTAGGGACAGAGTCTCTCTCTGGAGTACAGCGGTGTGATTATAGCCTTCTGTATCCTCAACCTCCTGGGCTTAAGTTATGCTCCTGCCTCATTCTTCCAGGTAGCTGGGGCTATAGGTGTATGCCTCCATACCCAGCTAATTTTTTAAGATTATTTTGTAGAGACAGTGTCTCACTATGTTGCCCAGAGTGGTCTTGAACTCCTGGCCTCATGCAATCCTCCCACTTCAGCCTCCGAAAGTGCTGGGATTATAGGCATGAGCCATTCATGCCCAGCCAGTTTTCTGTTTTCTAATTGGAGCTTGGCAAGTAGGGAAAATTAATAGGGAAATAGATTTAGCTCTGAGTGGCTGTCAGTAGCCAGCTGAAGAAAAAGCAAAAAAAAAAAAAAAAAAAAAAGGTAGAAATGAGAAAGGGAGAGAGGGAAGAAAGAAAAATATGGATGCTGGGAAGTTGTATGTCTCTGTAGATATCTCTGAAGTATCAGGTGTGGTTATTGCCTCAGTTGGCTGTCGTAAGCATGAAAAAGCCAGGGGCAATTTCAACTACCATTTCTGACCATCATCAACCACAAATTTTAGGCAATTTGTTAGAATTTTTAAAACATGTTCTTAATAGTTGTTGGGTACCTGGAAGACATCAGAGAAAGTAGTCTCATTTGTATATATTATTAATGTGCTTATAATAGAAATTCTTTGGAATGTCCAGATAAGATACCAAGCTATGT